AGGGGGGGGGTTAGGGGGGGGTCATAACCCCCCCCCCCCATAGACCTCTCGGTATATAGAAATAGTATGAGGGGAGGGGGTGCAAATCGAAAAGTTTGAGGGGGGTGCAAATCGAAAGTTTGATGGGGGGTGCAAATCGAAAGTTTGAGGGGGGGGGGTGTAAAAATCGGACCCCCCCCCCCCCCCCTTGAGACGATCCTGGCTACGCCACTGGTCGCAAGGTTCTATAAAGTTCTAAATAGCCCTGATGTGTTTACGACCAGTCTCATTACTAAACTAATGCCGCGAGATTTTGTACGGAATACTTTTACTGGGCCAGAGCTGTACGGTGGTTTTAACCCCGTATCTTGCCCGTCTCCGTGCATCTGTCTCGGCGTCTTTTGACGGAACAAACGTTCTCTATGAGAAAAACATTGTTAAGCTGTGATAATTGTTCGATTTATTTCTTTTATAAGCAACTTTGTATTTTATGTGTGTATATATATATATATATATATATATATATATATATATATATATATATATATATATATATGTATATATATATATATATATATATATATAAGAGATTTTTACTGAAATGTTATGTTTTTAACTCAGAAGAATCCATTTGTGTAGAAGTCTTGTCAAAATCTTCTAAACTAGAAAAATGGCCCGTTGAGGAAGGATACACCGGGCGCTAGGTTGATAGTGCTGTCTCTTTTCTCTAAACAAAAACCACCCCCCCCACCCACACCACCCCAACCCCCCCCCCCCCACACACCACCCCCCCACCCCCACCCCTACACACACCACCCCACACACACACCACCCCCCACCCCCCCAAAAAAACAAAACATGTCTACCGTCCCATTCAACGAAATATAATTATATACTTTTTCCAGTGTCCGCCCCCTCCCCGAAAATTCTACACCCGCCCCCGAAAATTTCAAGTACCCCCACCCCTCTCCGGGGAGGAAAAAGTCTAAATTAAAACCACCCCCCCCACTCACCCCCCACCCCCCCCCCCCCACACACACACCACCCCCCCCACACACACACCACCCCCCCCACCCCCACCCACCCCTCCCCCCCCCCCCCCAAAAAAAAGCATGTCTACCGTCCCATTCAACAAAATATAATTATATACTTTTTCCAGTGTCCGCCCCCTCCCCGAAAATTCTACCCCCGCCCCCGAAAATTTCAAGTACCCCCACCCCTCTCCGGGGAGGAAAAAGTCTAAATTAAAACCACCCCCCCCCCACACACCCCCCATCCCCCCCCCCCACACACACCACCCCCTCCCCCCACCCCCCACCCACAACCCCCACCCCCTAAAAAAACATGTCTACCGTCCCATTCAACGAAATATAATTATATACTTTTTCCAGTGTCTACCCCCGCCCCCGAAAATTTCAAGTACCCCCACCCCTCTCCGGGGAGGAAAAAGTCTAAATTAAAACCACCCCCCCCCACTCACCCCCCCCCACCCCCATCCCCACCCCCCTCAGACGTTCTTTCGCGGGGGGTGGGGCTTCGCCCCTACCCGAAGAATTGTATGCAAGAAACTCTTCACGCAAACCATTTAGATTAGACAACATTTCCTGTTTATTCAATGTTTACGCGAAATCAATGACGTCATTATATTACTGTGTGCACTTTCCGCCTTGAGATTATTTTCAACTTTAATATGCTAAATGTGTCGACGTCATATTTCGTTTTTCGAATTACTGTGCATGTTTTTATTTTGCTTGTGTTTTCTCTAGAGCGTTCTTGTCAGATAGAATTTTTTCTTATGTTTTCTCTAGAGCGTTCTTGTCAGACAGAGCGTTCTTGTCAGATAGATAGATACATACACAGACAGCGAAACTATTATTATAGACGAGAAAAATGGCCCGTTGAGGAAGGATACACCGGGCGCTAGCTTGATAGTGCTGTCTCTTTTCTCTAAACTAAAACCAACCCACCCCCCCCCCCACACACACCACCCCCACCCCACCCCACCCCCACACACCACCCCCCACCCCCACCCCCCACCCCCCCACCCCCCACACACACCGCCCCCTCCACACACCGCCCCCCCCACACACACCACCCCCCCCCCCCCACCCCTCCACCCCCCCCCCCCAAAAAAAAAACATGCCTACCGTCCCATTCAACGAAATATAATTATATACTTTTTCCAGTGTCCGCCCCTTCCCCGAAAATTCTACCCCCGCCCCCGAAAATTTCAAGTACCCCCACCCCTCTCTGGGGAGGAAAAAGTCTAAACTAAAACCACCCCACCCCCCACACACACCACCCCCCACCCCCCACACACACCACACCCCCCACCCCCCCACCCCCCCCCACCCCCCCCCCCCCAAAAAAAAAACATGTCTACCGTCCCATTCAACGAAATATAATTATATACTTTTTCCAGTGTCCGCCCCCTCCCCGAGGGGGGGGGGTCTCAGACATTCTTACGCGGGGGGTGGGGCTTCGCCCCTACCCGAAGAATTGTATGCAAGAAACTCTTCACGCAAACCATTAAGATTAGACAACATTTCCTTTTTATTCAATGTTAACGCGAAAATCAATGACGTCATATAACTTTGAGCACTCTCTGGGTTTGAGATTATTTTCTACTCTGTGCGCTAAATGTGTCGACGTCATACTTCGTTTTTCGAATTACTGTGCATGTTTTTATTTTCCTTGTGTTTTCTCTAGAGCGTTCTTGTCAGATAGATAGATAGACAGACAGCGAAACTATTAGTATTAATTTGAATTGTTTCGATTGTTAAGTTCTGCCCTTCTCTTGTCCATATGGGCTCTATCAATCAGCTCATCGATAGCTTGACCCGTCCTCATATCGATCATCACATGCCACAGTCACATGACACAGTCACATGCCACAGTCAGATAACACAGTCACATGACACAGTCACATGCCACAGTCACATGCCACAGTCACATGCCACAGTCACATGCCACAGTCACATGACACATGACACATGACACAGTCACACGACACAGTCACATGACACAGTCACATGACACAGTCACATGACACAGTCACATGCCACAGTCACATGCCACAGTCACATGCCACAGTCACATGACACAGTCACATGACACAGTCACATGACACAGTCACATGACACATGGCACAGTCACATGACACATTCACATGACACAGTCACATGACACAGTCACATGACACAGTCACATGACACATGACACATGACACAGTCACACGACACAGTCACATGACACAGTCACATGACACAGTCACATGACACAGTCACATGACACAGTCACATGACACAGTCACATGACACAGTCACATGCCACAGTCACATGCCACAGTCACATGCCACAGTCACATGACACAGTCACATGACACAGTCACATGACACAGTCACATGCCACAGTCACATGACACAGTCACATGACACAGTCACATGCCACAGTCACATGCCACAGTCACATGCCACAGTCACATGACACAGTCACATGACACAGTCACATGACACAGTCACATGACACATGGCACAGTCACATGACACATTCACATGACACAGTCACATGACACAGTCACATGACACAGTCACATGACACATGACACAGTCACACGACACAGTCACATGACACAGTCACATGACACAGTCACATGACACAGTCACATGACACAGTCACATGACACAGTCACATGCCACAGTCACATGACACAGTCACATGACACAGTCACATGACACAGTCACATGCCACAGTCACATGCCACAGTCACATGACAGAGTCACATGACACAGTCACATGACACAGTCACATGACACAGTCACATGACACATGACACATGACACTGTCACATGACCATAGTGCAACAAACAGATAGTCAACGATCTGACAACATTAACCTTGACATTTCTATAGATAGATACTAAAGGGTTTTCCATTAACGACTCCAAAATACTCCTATGGGGTGAGTGGTCGTTCGGACATTTGTGAAAATTTGTTGCACATGCCGTTGAGTTAAAGCTTAAATCTGACTACACACTTTTGTATTTTAAATAATAAAGCCAGAAACTAGATTTTAGTCATTCTTTTGCTTTAAAAAAAAATAAAAGTAAAATGTGATTAAATTTACCCATTTGACAGATACTATTTTGGAATGAATTGCTTTTTAAAAAACAAAACAATAAAAATATGAATTTTTAAAGTGTGCATTTTGATAAGGGACGTCGTTTTAGTGGGTGACTGTCTTTCATTTGTGATTGTTACAATTAGGGCAGGCGGGGAGGGGAGAGAAAAAAAGCTGTTCTCTAAAATTCGAAGTTAATTATTGTGTACGACTAACAACATATCAAGCATTAACAGCAATGCAAATCACTAGGTTAGCAAGAAAAAGAAGTCATAGGTAGGAAGCAATTCAACCTTATTAGTTCTAGGGTTATAACATTTCTGTTTGATAAAGTCCCAATCATCAATTTTCTAGTATTCTAAACATTGCGTTTCTAGAGTCTCAAAAATCTCATTTCTATGATCCCTAGATTAATCTCAATTTCTGGGTCAGATTTAACTTGCGTTAGGAGTTATAAGCATCTGATATCCATAAAATACCTTAACATGCATGGTTTGTTGCACTATGGTCATGTGACTGTTACATTGGGAGGCTTCGGTAAAAAAAAAAAATTAAATACTCGTTAGAAAGCAGTTATTTTTGTACAGCTTTGTTAAAATACATCAGCATATGCATTTCCACTAAAACATTTGGTGGAAAAATCTTGGTAACTACGACAACGGCGACCATCTTGAAAAATTAACCCCCTCGTAGGTTTTCCACCATTCATAAAATATGCCGAATAACTAATAAGGTCATTTGTAAATGACTACAACCAACAAGATTCTCACACAAGATTTTATTTTGTAAATAGTAAATATATAATTATAAAAAAATACTTGAATTAATTTTGTACGTAATCAATTAAAAAAATAAATAAATGTAAATTAAAAGTTAGCAAAAAATCATTTTAGATATTCCTTCATGGGTGTCGTCTTCTTGTCCCTTTGTAGTAGTCGTTAATTTTCTGCTGTGCCGTGACAGCGGCTGCACGCTGAGGTGGGCGTTGTAATGGCGCAGCAACATTTATGGGAGGGACGGCAACGTTCACTGGTGGGGCCGGAACGGGGGCTGGAGCTACATTGACTTGCACAGCAGCATTTTGACTTGGCCATAGGTATCTTGAGATTTGTCTTCTAAAAACTGTAAAAATGTAAACGTTTCGTTAAATGAAAATGAATCTCAACAAGGAGACAAGTTAATTAACTCAACCAAGTGCACACCCATTTTAAAGCCAAACAGACATGGAAAATAAACGGTTAATATGGACCTTTGAGAAAATCACACAACTCTAATTCTAAACTTAACCCTAACCACAACAAAACTCAAGATTCAACATATGAGACTTTTGTAGATTTACATAGATGGTAATTTCTTACACTCTTAAAATGTGTACAAATTATACATGATTATACATGGAATATGAGCCCCATTTCTGAAAATCATAATATAGAAAACCCATGTGCGTAATTCTCTGTCTCTGTCCGCAAAATATTTTCACAAGCTATAATATCAGTATCTTCAGCGATATATGGAGAACTTGATATGGACTAGTGTTAAAAATAATATGGTAGATATTATTGTGAACAGGCCATTAAGAGAATCAGCCTATAAATAAACTTGCATTTTTGACACTTGTGAGATTGGCATCCGGCACTCTTGTGTCGCTACAAACCTCAAATTACTAGGAAATTTCCTGCCCCAACACCACAGACCTACCCCACCCTCCAACTGTCTGCCCTCCACAAAACTCCAGCCTACTAAACATCCATGATTACATGATAACCCAGAGCGCAAAATAGCATCCTGAAACAATGATGCAGATTGCGTCATTTGCTAAAGTGACCCAAATCAACAGGATTTTTTCTTTGACACAAAGAAAAAAATATATGTGACATGTCATAAACATACGTAGGACTAATGCAATTTTTTAGTGTTACTAATGGTGTATTATTAGAAGCTCGATCTCAATTTTTAAACGGATCGTCTAAAAATAGATGCTAATGCATCATATGCAAAGTGACAAAACTGTTTAGATTTTTTTACGGACAAATGGAAGCAACCCTGTTAATAATCGAACCTACGTTGATTTTTCTGATTCGCCGGTGGACATGCCTGATTCAATTTAGTGAGCGACTGTAACGCCCCATCTTATCCATTGTCTATCACACTGCTTAGAACGAACGGAATCCCCAGAGCGCTCACGAGAAAAAAAACAGTTCGCTAAATCGCATCCTGCCGGGGCCGCCCGTGCGAAATAAAATCCCCAAGAGTGTTTTAGTCAACTCCCATAAGTTTGATGGCCATCGAATGAACGGTGTCAAACCGCAATCGACTTTTATCTTTATATACCGTATATAGAGAAAAAAAAACATATCGCGCCCTGCCGGAGCGTCACCCCTGCGAATTTGAAATTTTTTTTCTTCGCAGAAACTTCCCTATGAGTATTCTCAACAACTTCTTAAAGTTTCATGGCGATCCGATGAAAGATGTAGTAATGCATAAAAGACTGACAGACAGATACACACACACACAATCATACATTGATATATATATATATATATATATATATATATATATATATATATATATATATATATATATATATATATATATATATACAACTGTTATAGAAAGTGTAAGGAAGAAAACTCCCGTTTTTAAAATAATGCCTTACTTATTACGATAATCATGACACAGGCTAGGATGAAACACAAAAGTCTCGGATAATTTGGGCCAGAGTCCATCTTCAAACCGTTGGCTTCCGCTTCAGGCCTAAAAATATAAACATAATTAATTGTCGGCGCAAAAGGTTTCCAAAAAAAAAAACAAAATTGCGCAACGGAAAGCTAGGTGGTCAACGCTTTGCTGACGCCAAACAACAATACAAAAATATACAGAAATAAGAATAAAATATGCATGTTGATGTATACAAACAGACACTTACAAGCTGAAACATGGACACATGCAAGAATAAACACATACATACATATATTGCCATGCGTAAGTGCTAAGTTATATGAGTTATTTTTGGTAAGCTATTTTTTTTTATTTTAACGATTTTTGTATGCGCAGTTTATTGTATAGGGAAATTTCTGTATCCAGAAATTTCTGTTTGCAATTTTTATTGTGTGCCAGAAATACTTTTTGCGCATTTTCTGTGTGTGCACAATTTTTTTTTCTTGAGCATTTTTTTCGCTGCGTATATTTCCCTAGAAGCTCCTTTTTGGACACTAGTTATTTGGTAGATCGTGTGTTGAAAAGAAGGTTAAAATAACAGAAGTACTTACAATTCCGTGCAAACATTGTTTTGGCACACTTCGAGCTTTTTGCACAGTCCGATGAACTGACTAACTTTGTTGCATGCGGCTATAAATAATAAATTAAATAAATAAATAAATAAATAAATAAATAAATGAATGAATGAATGAATGAATGAATGAATGAATGAATGAATGAATGAATGAATGAATGAATGAATGAATGAATGAATGAATGAATGAATGAATGAATGAATGAATGAATGAATGAATGAATGAATGAATGAATGAATGAATGAATGAATGAATGAATGAATGAATGAATGAATGAATGAATGAATGAATGAATGAATGAATGAATGAATGAATGAATGAATGAATGAATGAATGAATGAATGAATGAATGAATGAATGAATGAATGAATGAATGAATGAATGAATGAATGAATGAATGAATGAATGAATGAATGAATGAATGAATGAATGAATGAATGAATGAATGAATGAATGAATGAATGAATGAATGAATGAATGAATGAACGAATGAACGAATGAACGAATGAATGAATGAATGAATGAATGAATGAATGAATGAATGAATGAATGAATGAATGAATGAATGAATGAATGAATGAATGAATAAATAAATAAATAAATAAAATAAATAAATACATAAATAAATAAATAAACAAATAAATAAATAAATAAATAAATATATATATATATATATATATATATATATATATATATATATATATATATATATATATATATATATATATATATATATACATGTACATGTCTAAATAAAATCTAAAATCCAAATAGATCGATCGATCTAAATGATTGTTATTGCTAGATATTTGATAAATTTATTTTTTGTTTTATTGTTTAATTGTCTGATTGTTTGACTATTTCACTGTTTGACTGTTTGAATGTTTTATTGTTTAATTGTTTTTTTTATTGTTTGATTGTTTGGCTTAATACTTACAGGAAGCACAGTCAAAACAAGTCCATAGCAGGAAACATTTAGCGGCGGTGTATTGGCTCCTTTTTGAGCTCTAGGATAGAAATGTGAATTCAACAGCTGTGCTGTCCACATTTGAGTTTTAAAGCTCTGCTGTTGAAATCTAGATTCAACGGGAACAGGGCTTTATCCCACCTACCCAAGGCCCTCCAAACATTTACCTCTGATATGAGTCCCGGAGTAAATACCCCCCCACCTCTATCAATTAACCCTCCGCCCGCCAATTAGGGCATTACCCTCCTATTATACCTGAAGGTACAGTCAGGATTAGGGCTAGGGTTTGGGTTTGACTTCGGTTTATGTTTAGATTTTGGGTTACACAAGGTCCGCGCTAGGGGCTTGTGTTAGGGTCAGGGCTAGGGCAAGGTTTAGAGTTAGAGTTAGCTCAAGGGCTAGCGCTTCGGCTAGGGCTAGGTTTTGGTGTGACGGTAAAGGTCAAATGGAGGGTTAGAGTCAGGGTTGGGGTCTTGATTATGGTTAGGGTTAGGGTTTGGGTTAGGGTTAGAGTTAGGGGTCATCCATAAATCACGTCACGATTTTTGGACGATTTGTATCTCCTCCCTCTTCTAAATTACAAATCGTCACAAAAAGCCAGACCCCTTCCCTAAAAAATGGCGTCAAACCTCAGCCTACAACGCCCCTCAAAATTGACGTTGATTTTTTCCCAAAGCTTGTTTTATTTTCAAAAACACGAAATAACGGTAAAACTCGTTTTCTAGCGGACTTTCGTGGCTAAAAGGTAAAAGATACAACAGCCTACCATATTTCCTACAACGAGCCAGATCACAGTCAGTAACAAACCAGACCAAAACAGTGTAACAGGAAGCTGGAACATAGATTTGAACACATACACATTTTAAATTTAAAGAATGAATTAAATATATAAAGCTGTGACTGGTTCATCTTATTATACACAAAAATGGAATATAATTAAACATAAATAATTGATTTATTTTGGTGTGGGGGGGGGGGGGTTACTTGAAATCTTCGGGGGAGGGGGGCTATATAGACGTTTCTTGCAGACTCGTCCAGACCGTTATCCGAACTCGAGACCTTGAAAATAAATAAATTCGAAAACGTTAAAATGCATTTTTATATTGCCATTAGTCTCTATCTTTCAACTCACCATTTCCTCGTACTCAGAGTACTGCATCTTCTCATCAAAGGTTTTCATACTCTTGACGAATTCCAACATTTCAGCAGTTGAGATTTGAATGTTACCAAAGTTTGCGTCAAACTTATCACCATTCTCCCCGATATTAGAATTCTGTCGAAAAATTGATCTTTTTTTAAGGGAGTACCACCCAATCAAACTAAGGTAGGATACGATTTGACAAAAAACCATTTACACTTGCGGACAGTGTATAAGTTTTAGAGAATCTTGTCTAACGAACTCAGTGGTTTTTTAATCTTTTTGAAGGTATATAATCCACGAGTTTAATAGACTTAAAACGATTATTGTTAGTATCCTTACAAATTAAAGACAACTACGTGTACAATGGAAATATCGACAGTGACATCATTTTGGACTTAACTCGATAGTGAAACAAGTCCTTTATACTGCAGTTATTTTCCAGACTATTTTTTTCTCCCGGGGGGGGGGGGGGGGGGGCTTGAAAGTTTCGGGGCCGGGGGGGGGGGCGGACTAAAATTTCCGGGTTGGGGGGGGGGGGAGGGTCGGACATTGGTGAAAGTATTTATTTTCTATATAAATAATATTTTGTTCCGGTAGATGTTCTTCGGAGGGACTCCACCCCCACACCCGCCCCTCCCACCCAGCGAAGAGATGCCTGGCAGAAAATCTGGTAAAGGCCACGATTATCCCAATGAAAAGACTGTTTAATAATAGCTTTCTCGTCACCACTGAAATAATCCTAACCTGAACCATATGAGTTGGATGTGTGTCTTGGCCTCCACTGTACCCCTGAGACTAACTTACCGACACCCTTGAGGCTCAATCGAACCCAGATTAAGAACCACTTCACTAAAAATATTAATGTATTTTGTCGATGCTGTTACGTTTCCTTGCTGGAGATTTCCAATAAACAATGTCGAAATAAAAATGGTTACCTTCCCGTAGTCCTTGATTTCGGTCAGGCCAAAAACGTGGGCCTCCTTCATTTTAAAAGCTTTGTAGGCAGTCGAACCATTACTACAGGACCTTTGATAAAAACAGTTTTATAATTAGCTCTTTTTGAATACTATTTAATAATGATTGGAATATACTGGATGTGTTAAGTGCTATTTGAGTGTTTTATTTCAAAGAGGGTGGTTTCAAGTTGGTTTATAACCGCTATTTAAAAAGACAAAAAAAAAATAAGCTTTTAAAATCTTGTAAACTTGATTTATTCGTAACATTTTTGGACGTGGATATTACAGCCTATCTCATGATTGATCCATGTTAAAGGACACACGGCATTTCCCTCCTCTTCAATTCAAGTAACACTTCATGCTAACCTTAGTATACTCTCTGCCTGTCCAAGATACTGTAGTAGCAGAACGTCAGTTACACATGTGCTATAAATTTACTTTAAACATTACGGGATATGGATTATTATGGTTATGTCTAGTAGAGTGGCTAAGCTTAGCGCTAGAGTTTCTAAAGTATTAGAACAATGTCTTTAGGAAATTGGCACATAACTATGCAATATACTGAAAGCATAGACAAATAGATATTCTCTTAACACGCCCATGGATAGTGGGTTGGTTTTGATTATCTCAGTAGTAGGGCTAGGTTAGTGTTAAGCTCAGGACTATTTTGAACACTTACAATTAATTGATTAAATATATTGTTTCTAGCTTCTATTGTTTTAGGGACGTCGTGACTTAGCGGTAGAGTGCTAAACTGCTAACCCGACAGTCTCGAGTTCGAATCCAGGTTCAAGTCAGTAGAACGTCCACATAGCTCCGATGGCTACCTACCTCACGCTAGGGAAAACAAAGGCGGCTGGGCATAGTGCTATACCTTCATATAAACTCTACTTCATCTGCCCATGTGTATTGGCAACGAATGGAAACAATGATAAACTTACTCGGTTAAGTTAAATGTGTCATAGCTATTATCTAGATGCGATTAACATGAATGAAATCGACGGGGGGGGGGGGGTATTGACAGCAACGAAGGTGGTGACATTAGAATAGAACTTACCTCATAATATCGATGACATTAGAATAGAACTTACTTGATAATATCGATGACAGAATAGAACTTACTTGATAATATATATGATATTAGAATATAACTTACTTGATAATATCGATGACAGAATAGAACTTACTTGATAATATCTATGATATTAGAATAGAACTTACTTGATAATATTGATGACATTTGATTAGAACTTACTTGATAATATCTATGACATTAGAATATAACTTACCTGATAATATCTATGACATTAGAATAGAACTTACTTGATAATATCGATGACAGAATAGAACTTACTTGATAATATATATGATATTAGAATATAACTTACTTGATAATATCGATGACAGAATATAACTTACTTGATAATATCTATGATATTAGAATAGAACTTACTTGATAATATTGATGACATTTGATTAGAACTTACTTGATAATATCTATGACATTAGAATATAACTTACCTGATAATATCTATGACATTAGAATATAACTTACCTGATAATATCGACCAATTTCAGGAAAATATTTTTGTCAGGGTAGATTTGATCAGACAGCCACGTCGAGTTCGGGGTCCCAAGCAATTTATACTCGACAATGAGCTGAAAAATGTTAACGAAACGATGTAAAAAACGCTTTTTACTGCACAAGGTGTCAATAGCAGTTTGTTGATCGGCTTTATCCTACTTTGTTTCACATGTAAATTTTTAAAAAGTGCCGATGTGGAATTCGTTCATACTTATGTTTAAAAAGAAGGGGGCGGAGTGGTCTAGCAGTTAATGTCAGTAGGCCGTCTCTGAGTCCACCCAGCTCTAATGAGTACCTAACTCACGTTAGGGAAAGTAAAGGCGGCTGGGCATAGTGCTGACCACATTAGCTCCTCATATACCGAGGTCACAGAAACAAGTGAACTCTACTTCACTTGCCCTATAGACCATCAGGTTTGAAAGGGAACTTTACTTAGTTTACTTATGTTAAAAAATATTTTTATTGAAATTAACATAATCTAGAACAATAATAATCGAAATTTAAAATGTGTACCAGACCAAAAAATATTTTTAACGCCTAGTCTAATGACTATTTAAATACCTTTTTAACTGGAAGTTAATTTTGTCCGGTTGTATTTTATCTGTTTTCGTTTTACAAATAAAGCACATCAACATTTTAAATTAAACAATTTCGCTTGTAATTTATACTTTTAAAATTGACTTTAAGTTCAGTAACGGCCAACTGTCTAAAAGTTCAGCAACGGCTACCTGTTAATACGTTCAGTAACGGCTACCTGTCTATAAGTTTAATAACGGCTACCTTTCTATAAGTTCAGCAACGGCTACCTGTCTATATGTTCAGTAACGGCTACTTGTCTAAAAGTTCAGTTACGGCTACCTGTCTTTAAATTCAGGAACGGCTACCTGTCTATAAGTTCAGTAACGGCTACCTGTCTATAAGTTCAGTAACGACTACCTGTCTATCAGTTTAGTAACTGCTACCTGTTTACAAGTTCAGTAACAGCATCTCGACTATGAGTTCGGTAACGGCTACCTTCGAATGAGTTTAGTTACTAAACTCATACGAAGGTAGCCGTTACGAAACTCTTACAAATGTAGAAGTTACTATACATTTGTATGAGTTTCGTAACGGCTACCTGCTTATCAATTCAGTAACGGCTGACAATAAGTTCAGTACCATCTACCTACCTCTAAAGTCATTGCGTAAACACCGCGAGATATCACCCGATTCAGGTATCTGTTCTTTGCAGATTCGTCTGGCAGCTGTTAAAATAAACAATTGAAAAATCTTGAGGGTTTTTAGTCACTAACGTTGATAAATATTCTTCGACTTGCACTAAAATGTGATTTATTTCATAAATTTGAGTTTTATTTTCAAGTGATTTCAAGGACATGCAGCTTCCAAGATAGTCAAATTAATGCAAAACAGTGTACACTATTTTTTTTTTTAATTATTTTTTTTGTTTAATAATGTTCCTCTATTGCTGCTTCCCCACTCGAACAAGGGTAGGCAGAACCATGTTATTAGGAACTTATAAACATGAAAATAATAACATACATGATACTATATTATCTAAGCTTTCCTAAAGTTTAGTACGTAGATTTTTGAAAATTATAACTCTAAGGTCATAACGTTTAAAAGCTATTAATACAATATATTTTTAAAGGTAGGCCTTTATCTAATTAATAAGTTACTTTATATGACTAAATTTCTTCAAAACGTTATTGATTTCACTTAGGTGAAAGAACAAGCGTTAACTAAGTAAATCACACACGAGGAAAGCGCAATTACTTCAATGAGTTGTCTCACTTCCTGATATTGAATACAGTTATTTTTAAATTAATATTAATGACGAACAATTAAATGCAAAACTGTCTATGCGTGTATTGTCATCGGAGACGAATTAAACTGTAAAATAGATCGTTGTATTATTGTGTCTAGATTTGAGTTACAAGATTTGCCACTCTAAAGGAAAAATAGAGAGATGTGGATTACGTTAGAACGTTTAATCAGCATTCGTCTCTCAACACTAATTTCTTTCTTCTTCGTTCTTAATTTTAGTGTTGACATGGATTCCCTCCAACACAATTAAGTATTACCAGTTAACTATTTAGTGCCATTTGACTCCGATTTCAGCCTGCTTTTTTTTTTAATTTGCTTCCATAGCCTTTGTCCAATCAAGGACAAACTACAAGGCAGCAGTTCTTTGATTTTGGAGTTGTCTCTCCTAGAAGAGTTGTTGTCCCCAGCTATCGAGTATCATCTACCAGAGGATTCAAACTCTAGACTTAGCTTAATCGACTCAACCGCGCCGGTCGGTCCCCTCTTTACCAACATAAACGTCAGACACACAGCATGAGTGAACACGTACCATTACAGCGGGATTGAACCGGTCTGAGGTAACGGTGTAGTTGGGGCAAGCCTCACGAAATCGTGGGTCCTGGATTCTATTGATCTCAGCCTGGATATGCTTTAGGTCTGCCAGAAAAATGGTGGCTTCTCTTATAATTGTCTCTCTACTGGCTACCAAGTCTTCCATCGCTCCATTAAGTAGGTTGGAAGCTGTACGGTATATAAGTAATATAAATAACACAATTGAGTGTACGTGTCAACTGTTTATGCGCCATTTTGGCCTTTGACTCTGATTTCGGCCCGATTTTGTTTTCTTGGATTTGCTTCCAGCCTTTATCCAACCAAGAACAAGCTATTAGGCAGCAGTTGCTTGATTTTGGAGTTGTCTCGACTAGAACTCGGGACCTACCGATTCAGCAACAATTAATTTTACCAACCCGAACACTCGGACCTCCTATATGTACAAAACTACTTACTTACTTATTTATTTATTTATTTTAATGCGTCTATTTATATATAATTATATATAATTAATGACTTGTTTTTAAATGTGTACTTAAAGTAATGAAAAAAAATGTGAAAAAAAAACCAGAACAATCGCAAAGCTAGTAATGAAAATAGTAAAAATCATACGTACAATTTTCCAAGTTTATAACGTCGTCGTATAATTTGTGCAATCGCAGCCTGTCCATGACCTTTTGCTTGACATCTTCTCCGAGAATACCACCGATATCTACAAAGACGGAGAATATAGAAACATTGCTGACAATCTATATACCTTTGTTAAAGTTTTTAATACGTGAAAAAATGCAATCGATGAATTTTTTATGTAGGAATGGAATTATTAATCAGAACAAACCTTAAATCGGTTGTCTTGAAGCGTCAAAAAAAGGCAAATGCTAACTTAAATTAAAATCCAAATTTCAATCAAGGGTTATTATTTTCAAAAAATGTCAAATTTAGCTTAATCTAACACACAAGTATATCTTACTCTGTAGGACCCGGTTCAACACAGTCCTTGAGAATGTGAAGTCTTTGTTGACTAGCTGATCAGCTTGCTGAAGGATTAAAATATAACTTTAAAACTTATAGGCCTCTACATTGTATTTAGATAACCGTACAGAGGAGATCTGATGTAAACATGGTCGACGATATCTAGAGATATCCCAAGTGAATTAATTAAACAGCTGTATACAAACACAGCAGATTACTTGAGTAGTTCTATACAAACACATCGGATTACTTGAGTAGTTCTATACAAACGTAAGGGATTACTTGAGTAGTTCTATACAAACACAACGGATTACTTGAGTAGTTCTATACAAACGTAACGGATTACTTGAGTAGTTCTATACAAACACAGCGGATTACTTGAGTAGTTCTATACAAACACATCGGATTACTTGAGTAGTTCTATACAAACGTAACGGATTACTTGAGTAGTTCTATACAAACACATCGGATTACTTGAGTAGTTCTATACAAACGTAACGGATTACTTGAGTAGTTCTATACAAAAACATCGGATTACTTGAGTAGTTCTATACAAAAACATCGGATTACTTGAGTAGTTCTATACAAAAACATCGGATTACTTGAGTAGTTCTATACAAAAACATCGGATTACTTGAGTAGTTCTATACAAAAACATCGGATTACTTGAGTAGTTCTATACAAACGTAACGGATTACTTGAGTAGTTCTATACAAACGTAACGGATTACTTGAGTAGTTATATACAAACACATCGGATTACTTGAGTAGTTCTATACAAACACATCGGATTACTTGAGTAGTTCTATACAAACGTAACGGATTACTTGAGTAGTTCTATACAAAAACATCGGATTACTTGAGTAGTTCTATACAAAAACATCGGATTACTTGAGTAGTTCTATACAAAAACATCGGATTACTTGAGTAGTTCTATACAAAAACATCGGATTACTTGAGTAGTTCTATACAAAAACATCGGATTACTTGAGTAGTTCTATACAAACGCATCGGATTACTTGAGTAGTTCTATACAAAAACATCGGATTACTTGAGTAGTTCTATACAAAAACATCGGATTACTTGAGTAGTTCTATACAAAAACATCGGATTACTTGAGTAGTTCTATACAAAAACATCGGATTACTTGAGTAGTTCTATACAAAAACATCGGATTACTTGAGTAGTTCTATACAAACGTAACGGATTACTTGAGTAGTTCTATACAAACACATCGGATTACTTGAGTAGTTCTATACAAAAACATCGGATTACTTGAGTAGTTCTATACAAAAACATCGGATTACTTGAGTAGTTCTATACAAAAACATCGGATTACTTGAGTAGTTCTATACAAAAACATCGGATTACTTGAGTAGTTCTATACAAAAACATCGGATTACTTGAGTAGTTCTATACAAAAACATCGGATTACTTGAGTAGTTCTATACAAACGTAGTGGATCAGAGTTTCTTTCAGGCATCTCTTCGGGGGGGGGGGGGGGCTTGACCTTAGGGACTATGACAGACACAGAGGAGCTTACGTCAACGGATGATCTGATGTATGTTGTGACGTCATCCAGTAACTCGAAGTCGCTGGTTCCAAGTTCGTGAATGGAATCCCTGAGATGCTCGTTGGAGGCGAACATGAGGCAGATTCCCACACTGTTCAGATAAGGTATGAAATTTTAGTTTGGATGTATGTGGGTGGGGATGTAATATTAGGTAGGATGTATGTGGGTGGTGATGTAATATTAAGTAGGATGTATGTGGGTGGTGGTGTAATATTAGGTACGATGTATGTGGGTTGGGATGTAGTATTTACAGAGTTTATGGGGATCGTAGTTTGGGGAAGTGCCTAATGATTTAAAGAAAATAAACGATTATCTTAAGTAATGATTTTTCAATTGCTAAAATGTACCACCATTCGTGAAAAAACAAATTGATTAAATCATATTTTATAACAACTTGTGACCATTAAAAATAATATATATATATATAATCTAGACATTCTGATAATATAAATTGTATGGTCAAATATTTTATCGACGATATATAAAAAAAACCATGGGCATCGTTTTAACAGTATTAATATGTCACCCATCCCACCCCCCCCCCGCCCCGCCCACCAGCCATGTGAAGACATGGCCGATGGGTAGAGCGAGTGATTGGAAACTAAAACGTCTCGAGATCTCTGGCTCGAGTTTGTATGACGTCCCTGAGTGCACTGAATTCAGAAGGGTATCTGACTAACGTTAGGGAAAGATTCAAACATATCTCGATGTCAAAGGAATTTGTGAACTCTATTTCATCTGCTCCATGGACCGTCCGTTTCGAAAAGATACTATTTTTTTTTACTTTATTCCCCCACGCTACTGTTATGTGATATGATAGCAAACGATTATTCTGATTCAGCTACATACGTTTATATCCCACACATTATCCACTTACCGTTACACACTTAACAAATAAAAAATTGCGCTTTCTTTTTTATCAATTACAACTATCGGAAAATTCAATTTCAATTTTGTTTTCAATACATGTGTATGCTATTTAATAACACACTTAGTATGTGACATGTGATTATATATATATATATATATATATATATATATATATATATATATATATATATATATATATATATATATATATATATAAAACGAATGGTTATAAAATGAACGGTCATAAACTGTTCCTCTTAGCGTCAAAATATCATTAAATCCCATTACCAATTTATACTTACATGGCGAAAGGGATCAAGACGGCAAGTACAATCAACGTGACGTACAGGCAGCACTTTTTCCTGTAGACGCCCTCTCGTGGTGACTTGGGCTCCGGCTTCTTGCAGCAACAGCAGCAGTAGATGTAGATGCAGCAGCCGAGGCAGACGATGGGGAAGATGATCACTAGCACCACGCCGAACAGCACGGTGATGAAGAAGCCGATGTATGTGTCTAGCAGCTGATCAAGGCATTAAATAATATAATGTGTTTTAGTACAATTGCTTGTTAGTTAACTGTTGACTATATTAGGTTTAATTTAATATGTGCTTTAATCTAGTAAGATAACGAATTTGAGGTAATAATGGTATGTTTCTATTGGGCACCTACACTTGCAAAGAAGATTTTAAAATTAAGATTCCCTTTTCTAACCTATTGGCCTATAGTTCAGATGTAGTATAGTTCATCTTCCAGTCATTTCTTCGGAAAGGGGTGGGGGGTTGGGGGTGGGGGGCGCTCCGTTTCCGCCCCCCACCCTGATAAAAGTCTCGATTTCCCCCCCCCCCCTCTGACAAAATGGAATTTATATAGAAAATATATACTTTTAAATAGTGTCCCCCCACCCGAAAAATTTAGTCATACACCCGCCCCCCTACCTAAAAGAAAAAAAATACTCTTGACCACTGCATGTGAGGGGATAATGTGGTCAGCACTATGCCCAGCCGACTTTACTTTCTCTACTGTTAGTCAGATGCCCATCAGGGCTGTCTATACATGTCTTGAGTCCAGACCGATATCCGAACTCGAGACCTTCGAGTTTAAGCTCAAGAACTCTACTGCTGGACATCATCGTCTCATATAGAATATATCAGCGTCACTGGATTGTGAACATGTTCTTTTTCGGTGTCTCTTAAGAGCGTGGTAAAAGCACATATATCTTAACTCTGGTGTTATACAATCAGGTCAAAACTCTAGCGTGTATAAAGGGCAGCTAGATGTGAGTTGTTGAACCAAGGATATAGAGATAATAGTTAATATTGTCGTAGTTTATATGTTGTATGCTGAATGAATCTTCTGGTGGGACGTATGATATACATATGAGGACGTATGCTGTATAGAGCTGTGGATGTATATCGTATAGCTATAGAGCTATGCTTTATGCATCTATAGGTGTTTCTCATGAGACACAGGTGTAAATGTATGCTGTATAGTGCTGTAGATGTGTGGAGGTATGCTGTATGGAAAAGAAGCATCGAGGTCAATACGTTGTTTAGACGATTCAAATTTGACACATCTTACCTTTTTCCAATCCTCTTCATATTTGTCAGTTCCGTGTTGTGTTTTACGAAGTGAATCTAGTGATACAATAAATCCTTTGTACGGTGTATAAGCATATTCTTAAGCACAACATGCATATGTATATGTATATGTATAATATACATATATATATATATATATATATATATATATATATATATATATATATATATATATATATATATATATATATATATATAAACAAACATACCATATGGAAACTATAAGTAAACTTTTTTTAATTTTGAAAGTATTGTTTACAATATGTTACATATACCACATGGAAACTATAAGTAATTTTTTTAATTTTGAAAGTATTGTTTACTTTCTGCTACACATACATACCATGTGGAAACTCTCCCTCCATGGAGGCCTTAGCGATACCGTATGCAAGTTTGTAGTACGGGCCAATGGCGCCAACGTCCGATTCTCCATGGGCCTTGTAGCTTGATGTATCGGATATCTTCCTAAAGTGGACGTCACTTTTATTGTCCGCGCGGATCCCTGACTCGTCCTTGACCTCTGGCACCTGCGGCGGGTTCTGAAGGTCGTGAGTCTGGGGTGTGGTCGCATGGATGATCCAGGCCAAGATGAGCAATGCGCGTAGGTGAGCCATTGGTGGGAGTGAGCGGGGTAGTACGATAAGCGTGAGTAAAAAATAATGATCTAGCTTCACTAATCGGAAACACGCGCGGAGATGCACGTGAAAGCAAATAGTGGCATTCTCGTTCGAACCTGTTGGAATGTATGAAGAAAACAAAATATTTTTAAACGCGGTGGATAATGAACTGAGTAAACATTAGGTTACTTCAAATAACCTCCAGGGTTTCATGCACGGATTTGGTTCCAAGATGGAGGATGGGGAGGGGGGGGGTAATGTAAACAAATTTAATCTAATTTTAGACCACGGGATGGAAGAATGTGACAGGGTGGGGAAACCACATCCACATATAGCGACTGCAAAAGATACACTTATGACGTTCCGTTTTTATAAAAGTACTTCTCTAGTCGTCCCCCCATCCTTCATCTCAACTCATGTAGATCTATGTCAGATGCTGTTGGCGAAGATTTAGGCCTGATGGCTGGTAACACAGATGCGATGGATTAACTATATCCTGTTGTGATATATTTAACCGACAACTTATTTTTTCTTTTGTATTTGGTTAGGCCGATTCTTTTCGCATTTAAGTATTAAAAAAAACTCTGACCCTAATAATGACCCTGAAGTTAACCAAAAGGTTATTGCTATAAATAAAAAAAAATAAAATCATCAAAAGACGTAAATTTGATTTCGCTAACACTCTGCAACTTAAGTATTCTAGGATCTAAAGGAGTAACTGAAATACAACATTTAAATTATAGATAATAATATACCGTGTTATTGGAAAGACGTGTTTACCTTCTTCAATCACCTTGGAGTTGCCTATATCGGTTTGGTCTTCCGTTCATCAAAAGTTAGCATTGATGAGGATGCGAATCGGGTTTTCCCCCAATGTGCACTGATATATCACTTTTGTATGCCTAGATATGGTGGGCAAGTTTGTGCGTTTTATGTACTCTCTAATACAGGGTTAATAGTGCAATGGGATAGTAAATAATTTAAACTAAATAACTAGTTTGGGACATGTAGATAGATTCTCGATGTAGTGGTATAGTGACCATTTGAAATTGTGTAGATAACTGTGCTAGTGAACTGACACAGGTGCATACCCACCAGTGTCGATTATGTGACATTCTGAACGTTTTTCATCTTGTGTGCTTCCATAGCCTTTGTTTATGGATATGGTAACTTAAGGAGCGTCTTTATATATTTGATAATGTATTTTAGAAAACAAAAAGGTTATTTGATGTCTATTTGACGGAATATATTTCGTATGGCTAGTATTCTTGCAATTAGAATCCGGGTTGCAGTCAGTTAAACGTCCCTGAGTCCACCCAGCCAGAATTTCTTCAAGGCATCTCTACCGCCCCACCCCGAGCGAAATGGAATTTATATAGAAAAAAATATACTTTTACAAGTGCCCCCCCCCCCCCCCCCAGCGGAAATTCCAAGTCTGGAGGAAACACTGCACCCAGCTCTGTTCAGAGTTTCTTTCGGGCATCTTTTTTGAAATATAATTTATATAGAAAACACATACGTTTACTTGTCCGCAGCCCCTACCCTTACCCCGATAGTTTTATGTCCACCTCCTCGTAGAAATAAGTCTAAAAGAAACACTAGCCTCGATGGGTTGCTAAATGACGTTAGAAAAAGTAGTCGGGTGAGTATAACGGTGACCACTATTTATAAGCCGAGGGCGCAGAAAAGGAATGATCAGTCAGGTTCGAAAAGGTCTCTTGACTTTTGAGTAACTTTACAAAGAACACAAACATGGAAAATACATCTTAAACGTTTCTTATTCTAAAAAAAGGTGTAATTGTGTTTCTGTGTCTGCGAGTGAACGTGTATCTATATGTGTATTTTTTTTAAAATATACTTAGATTCCTGTTTCAATTACGTAGAAGAAAATGTAGGTAGAAATATTAGTTTCTTTTCGTTGATCACATGAGATTAAACCGGTCGGTCGTTCGGCCGTTCGCTCGGTCGTTCGGTCGTTCAGTCGTTCGTTCGTTCGGTCGGTCGGTCGGTCAGTCGTTCGGTCGGTTGGTCGGTCGGTCAGATGTAACACCTACATGCAGATAATAACCTGATTGTCAAGAATGTATGCCTCACTCAGTCAGGTGCCCATATTTACCATTTTAACTTGCTGTCAGGAAAGAAAGACTTGAAAAAGAGGCTAACGTTGCTTTAAACAGAAAATGTATTGTAAATCCAAGGCATATTGACAAGAAATAATGAACAAAACTCATTCAAGCCTATTAATTTACACTCTCTTGACAAACACATAAATTAACAATGAGAAAGACAACAAGGTGTCACACACAATGCTTTAATAGGAATGCACCATACATCATAAGTGTGTTTACATAATATCGTAATTAAGAAGACATAATATATTTAAAAAAATGTCCAATCCTCTCTGATGATATGTTTCTCGGAATCGTCGGAATGTGTGTTTTATAATAAATTGTTATCATGGTATAGCACGATATGATACAGCCGAGACCCCAATCCCTAATAGTACATTATTCAAAGATATTATTTATATATAATAGGCTTTTCTATCAAGTAGCGTTTGATATCTTTTCAACCCTTATCCCCGGTGTTGTCTGCATTTAAAATGGGTGAGAGCACACACCAAGTGCTCTGTATTTTTTCTCAAACCAGTTGTTGCTACTTTGTGTACATAAGTTACTAACATTTTAAAATTTAAAAAATAGAATATTTTAAAAAAGGCGAAAGTTTCCCCCCACCCAATCGATTCGTTTCGATTCGTTTCGATTCGTTTGTATTCGTTTTTCTCTTGTATTTACTAAGTTTATTGTACAGAATAGGATGAAATGCAGGCAAACCAGCTTTGTTTTCGACTATTCTTCCATACATTATACTCTTTCACCCACTTTTGTTGGCCAAATTGTTCCGAACCAGCCTCTGTCCAATTTTTGAACCAACAAGCTTTAAATTCAACGCGTCTTATGTATTCATTTACTTATTTTTCTTTTTTTTTTACTACACTCTGTACACCAGAACGGCGTGGCCTGATACTGTATTTGTTTTAAGTTTGAAAATAAAAATATTTAAAAAAAAAAAACAGAATAATCCACTTTTAATTTCTATATATACAATTGATGATCATGTCTTTAGAAACTGTGTAAAACTACCAAAAAATTATTATTACTATTTTAAATTAAAAGGAAAAACCTGTAGGAGGACTGCTATAGATATAGATGTTTGAAAGGGAAGAATGTTTGATTTGATGTGTCTCATTGTACTCAACATAACATTCCGATTGCTTAAAAGTTTTATAATTATATTTTTCTTTAATCCTAAATTTATTTCAACTCTACGTAAAAGCCCAAACCCCCCCTCAGCCCACCACGCCGATTTTTAAAAAGAATCCCTTGAATCATCATTTAATTACACACTTGCATTTTCAGGTTTTTTGTTTAAAAATAAAATTGTAATAAGACGTTTTGTATTAGATCTATGTATAAGTAAACCATCCTAAATGAATAAATTTAGGCTACATGTAAGGAATGAGCATTACTATTGTAAATCTGTTTCAGTCCTCTGTAATACTGTAATACTCTGAAAACTGCAATACTAAAGCGAACATGCAAGGAAAATTGACGCTGTAAATTACATGTCTGAGGAGAAAAAAACAACAACAGAATAATTCACTCACACACAAGACATGATGTAATTTGTTTTCAAAACCCGATACGGCCAGAAATGAGTATCCTATTTCGTATTTCGTATTTCGTATTTTGTATTTCGTATTTTGTATTTGTGTTTTTGCGGGTCGGCCATTTTTTTCTACTTCCGCCAATGAACCGAGGTCCCCGCCCTAATGTATGTAAGAAAAACGCACTGTTTCTACTTTAAATTCTCCCTCCCCTATTCTAACTTAGCCAGGTCCGCATTTAGACCAGATGTATTTCTCCCTATGCATGAAACTATGAATAGATATCTCATCTTTCTCTCGATTCTATATAAAAGCATTAAGGTATCTGAGAGTATTATTCCTCATTTAGATACACACAGCTGAGCTATGTTTGAAGAAAATACAGCTTAATAAGGCCATGTATCTTCTAAATTAGTTATTAGAGAAACACAAATTTTCAGCATGTTTGACCGTAAAGCTTATTAAAATTTAGTATGGACAGCCTATAACATATAGACCTAATCAGTTAAGTAAAATAACAAACATTTTATTCTAAAATATAATATTTTCTCCTTTCCATTACTGCGATACAAATATTTAAATTGCCATGCTTTGTATCGTTTGTCTAAGTTTTACTCTTATACAAAGTTGCCAAAATTCTCAACTGACTACACGCTATTCAATCTATTTATTAGTTTGGACTTAAAATTTCAAGTCTCTAGATAATTTCATCAGAGCAAGTAATGCTACATCCACGAAATCCGAAGAAATTTTTTGAGGTGAATAGAATTTTATAAGTTTAAAGCTTTACTAGAATAACATGATTTTTTTAAACAAATTTTATCTTATTTACTTTTAAACGATTAATATTTACAGCACAAACAACTAAAAAAATAGCATTCCGTTAAATTGATTTTGTTTGAAATTTTCTACTGTGGTCGATAGTATCTATTTTTTTTAAAACTTTACCGCCCAAGATAATTATCGGGAATTTAACAAAAGCAAAGTAAAGAATAAACAAACGCGACACTAAAATTGTGCGAGTAATTATTGAAACTTCTCAGATGAAACTAGCTGAAATTTAAAGTCGTCTTATGTGTCTTAACTACTTAAATGTACTGCTGGTGATATGGATTAGCACCTACATTACAATATATACAAACATGTCATTTGCAGTGTTTCTTCCAGACTTTTTTCCACCGGAGGGGGGGGGGGGGGCACTTGAAATTTTCGAGGGCGTTGGGTCGAACACTGTCAAAAGTATATATTTTTTATATAAATTCTTTTCCGTTCAGCTGGGCGGCGGTAGAGTGGTCATATGTCCAGTTAAACTGATCTAACACTGTTTTTC